GCCCTTAGTATGTTTTCTTTGTCACTGACTTTTGCCAGTTTTACTAGAATATACCTTTGAGAAGGTCTTTTTGCATTGATGTAATTGAGAATTCTATTGCTTCATTTACTTGTAATTCCAGTTCCTTCCCCAGCTTTTGGAAGTTTTCAGCTATTATTTCTTTGAACAAGCTCTCTGTTCCTCTCTCCCTCTTGAATACCTATAATCCTTATGTTGCATTTCCTAATTGAGTCAAATATTTCTTGGAGAATTTCATCATCTTCTTCTTTTTTTGCTGAGGAAGATTCACCCTGAGCTAACATCTATGCCAATCTTCCTCTATTTTGTGTGTGGGTTGCTGCCACAGTATGGCTGCCAATGAGTTGTGTAGGTCTGCACCCAGGAACTGAACCTGGGCTGCCAAAGAAGAGTGCACCAAACTTAACCACTAGGCGATGGGGCCAGCCCATCTTCTTTTTTTTTTAAGTCTTAGTTCTCTCTCCTCTTCCACCTGAAGCATTTCTGTATTTCTATCCTCTAAACTACTAATTCTGCCCCTCCATAACGTCAGCTCTGTTTATAAAGGTTTCTAGATTGTTTTTTATCTCATTCATTGTATTCTTCATCTCCAGCATTTGTTTGGGGTTTTTTTTTAGAGTTTCAGTCTCTTTTGTGAAGAATTCCTTCTGCTCATTAATTTTATTCCTGAGTTTATTGAACTGCCTTTCTGAGTTTTCTTGTAACTTGTTGAGTTTCTTTAAGATAACTATTTGAATTCTCTGTCATTTAGATTGTAAAGTTCTATGAGTTCAGGATTGGTTTCTGGAGACTTGTCATTTTCATCTGATATGGAGTGTTAATGTATTTCTTCATGGTGTTTGATGAAGTGGACCTTTCCTGGCACATAGTGGTAGTATCTAGTCTCAGATTCCACCTGCCAACACTGGCAGGGGCAGGAGCTGTGTTTTCTGAACCCACTGTGTCTGCTGGAAGTTGTGCCCTTCTGCTGGAAGCTATGCTGACACAGTGTGTCTGTGTCTGCTCTCTGGCCGCTGCTGCCCAGTGGGTCACACATGCAGGCATAGGCCCTCTGGTGTGGGTCCGCTGCCCTGGCTGACTGGCCGAGCCAGTGTGCCAGGCAGGAGGGGAGGGGATGGGGAGCCCTCTTTTGTACATGTGAGCCCACTCTGCACTCACTGGCAGCCTGCCTGTGCTGCTGTGCCTGGTGGGGGCGCCCATGCAGTGGCCGAGCCACCTTGGTGTGGAGTGCCTCTACCGGCCAAGACACAACCCTGAAAGCAAAAGCATTCATGCTGAGACCCGCACCCTCCCCTGCCTCCTCCCAGAGTCATGTGCTGGCTGCTGTGTGAGGTCCTGTGCCCTAGATCGCTGCCACTGGGGATTGGGAGGAGATCTGCTCACCTCCTTCCACTGTTTCCTGGGGACCTTCAGACGTATGGCTGCGTGGATTTCTCAGACATCCTGTTGTGCTATGTGGGTATCCTCTCTTGGTTAATGAATGTCCTTTTGGTTGTATCTTAGCAGGGAGAGTCAAAGGGAACAGCTCACTCCACCATGATGCTGACATCACTCCTCCTTTATTCTTTCCTGTGAGGTATAGTTGACTTTGCTTTTCTTTTAAGTTGCCCAAATTACTGGCATAAAGTTATTCAGAATATATTCTTTTTTTTTTTTTTTTTGGTGAGGAAGATTCACTCTGAGCTAACATCTGTTGCCAGTCTTCCTCTTTTTATTTTGTGCTTGAGGAATATTAGCCCTGAGCTAACATCTGTGCCAGTCTTCCTCAACTTTGCACGTGGGTCACTGCCACAGCATGGCTTGATTCAGTACCCAGGACCTGAATCTCTAACCTGGGTCCCTGAAGCAGAGTGTGCCAGACTTAACCACTACACCATGGGGCTTGTCCCTCAGAAGATACTCTTAATGTCCTTTTATTATCTGTAGAATCTGTACTGTTGTCACCTCTCTCATTATTGATATTGGTAATGTGTGTCTTCTCTCTTTTTCCTGATCAGTCAGGCTAGAGGTTATGAAATTTATTGATCTCAGATAACTAGCCTTTGGTATCATTGATTTTTTTCCCTCTGTTTTCTTTTTCTTTGATTTAAAAATTTTTTTTTAAAGATTTTATTTTTCCTTTTTCTCCCAAAGCCCCCCAGTACATAGTTGTGTATTTTTAGTTGTGGGTCCTTCTAGTTGTGGCATGTGGGATGCCACCTCAGCATGGCTTGATGAGTGGTGCCATGTCCACACCCAGGATTTGAACTGGCGAAACCCTGGGCCGCCAAAGCAGAGTGTGCATACTTAACCACTCGGCCACAGGGCTGGGCTCGTCTTTGATTTTTATGCTGGTATTTATTATTTCCTTTCTTTTGCTTTCTTTGAGTGTCTAGTTTCTTAAGATGGAAGATGATGTCACTCTTCTTTTCTAATACAGACATTTAATGATATAAATTTCCCACAATTTTGATAGGTCTTTTCACTTTCATTCACTTCAAAATGCTTTCTGATTTCACTTTTGATTTCTTTTTTGACTTCTATTATTTTGAAGCATATTAAGTAGTTTTTAAATACTTGGAGATTTCTCAGATAGCTTTCTCTTACTGATTTCTAATTTACTTCCATTGTGGTCAGAGAACATACTTTGTGTGACTTGAATTCTTTTATATTTATTGGGATTTGTTTTATTGCCCAGAATGTGGTCAGTCTTGGTAAATGTTCTATTTCCATCCCATGGAAACAATATATATTCTATTGTTAATGAATGTAGTGTTCTATAAATATTGTTTAGGTCAAGTTGGTTGACAGTATTGTTCAGGTCTTTTGTACCCTTACTGATTTTCTGTACACTTGTTCTGCCAGTTACAGAGAGAGAGAGGTGTTATTGAAATCCCTACTATAATTTGGATTTGTCTATTTCTTCTTGCATTTTTGTTAGTTTTGTGTATTTTGAAGTTCTGTTATTAAGTGCATAAATGTTTATTTAGGACTGTTATGTCTCTGAAATCTACTTTGTCTAATATTAATATAGTCACTCCAGTGGTCTTATGACTAGTGTCAGCCTCGTTTTTCTTTTCCCATCCTTTTACTTTAACCTCTCTATGTTAACATGTCAGTCTTCCCTGTGGTTTCCTAAATATATGAAATACGGTTATAATAACTGTTAATGTCCTTGTTTACTAATTCTTTCCTCTGTGTCATTTCTGGGTCGGTTTGTATTGGTTGATTCATCCTCATTCTGGGTTGTATTTTCTTCTTTGCATGCCTGGTAGTTTTTTATTGGGGGCCAGACGTTATTACCTTGTTGGTGCTGGATATTTCTATGTCGCATTATTCTTCTTGAGCTTTGCTCTGGGTTGTGGCTAAGCTGCTTGGGAACAGTTCGATCCTTTCAGGTTGTGCTTTTAGCTTTGTTAGCTGAGATGAGAAAGCATTTAGTCTAGGGCTAATTTTACTTCTCTACTTAGGCAAAACCCTTTTGAGTGCTCTTCCCAATGCCCTGTGAGTTTTGATGTTTTCCCCTCTGGCTTCTGGGAGCAGGCCCATTCTTGGCTCACCGTGAGCTCTAGGCATTGTTTCTGCTAATCATTTTGGGTGGCTCTTTCCCTGGTGTTGGGTGGTTTCTTCCCAAACATGCACTTATTTAGTTTCCTATTGCTGTAGTAACAAATTACCACAAACTTAGTGGCTTAAACAACACATTTTCTTAAAGTCCTTGAAATCTAGCGTGGACCTCGTTGAGCTAAGTTCGAGGGGTCAGTAGGGCTGTGCTCTTTTCTGGGGACTTTGGGGAGGATCTGTTTCCTGCTCTTTCAGGCTGTTGGCAGAATTTGGTTCTTTGTGGCTGCAGGATTGAAGTCCCTGTTTTCTTGCTGGCTGTAAGATGAGGGTGTTTCAAGCTTCTGTAGGCCACCCACATTTCTTGGCTCAGAGCCTCCTTCCTCCATCTTCAAAGCCAGCCATGGTGGGTTGAGTCCTTCCTATTCTTCAAATTTCCCTTCCTTCTTCTTCCTCTCCTCTCCCAGATCCAGCTGGGAAAGGTTTTCTGTTTTTAAGGACTCACGTGATTAGGCTGGTCTCACCCACGTAATCCAGAGGAATCCCCCCACCTCAAGGTCTCTACCTTCTGTCTTGTCTGCTGAGTCCCTTTTGCTGTGTAACATATTCACAGCTTCTGGGGATGAAGGCATGAGCATCTTTGGGGACATTATTCTGCTACCCAGTGCTGACCAGTAAATCAGCTGAGTAACCAGAGGACCCTCTGCAGGCGTCTGGAGTTCTCTCTGGTCCTAAAGCCTGCAAACTCCAGCAGGTCCTAGGTCTCCTGGGACTCTCCTGGTCGGTCTCCTCAACTCAGGTGTATTGCTGGGCCCTGCTGAGTGTTCCTCAGCCTGGCTACGCCCTCCAGGCAGTGAGCTGGAGTTGTCTCAGGGCCCCCGGCCCTCGTCTTCTGATGTCCATCCTCCTGAGGACCTTGATTCCATGTGTCTTGTCCGGTTGTATAATTGTTTTGGTCAGGAGGGCAGATTGGTCTGTTACTTCCATCTGGGGTGGGAGCAGACGTCTCTTATGCTTATTTACTTTTGTTTGCTCCTGTTGGAGTTGGGTGAGCCTAGCTGTGTGCTTGTATGAAGGGTGTTCCAAACTTCATGGAGTTTGAGCTGGATTAGCCCTTGTTTGTTCCGAGGTGGTGGAGATAGGCAGCTATGGCTTTTCGTGGGGCAAAGCCTCTGCCTCAGGGACAGGCTGCTCTCCTCACAGACTCAGACTGGGTCCAGGAACTCAGGATTTGGCTTCCACTTGAGGGTGTGGCTGCCTTTGGGAAGCGTGTGCCATGGGCTCTTCCTGGAAGCTGCTGCCCGTGCACCTCATGCCCTGCTTGACAGCTGCGGCATTTTCAGCTCTTCATCCTTTCAGGGTTTGGGATTTTTTTGCCTTCTCCTTGCTCTGCCACAAATGGAATACATGTTTTTATTTCTTGTTTTCCTTGTTACTTTTAGATGCTTTCCAGGAAGAAAAGGGAAACACCTTGCTGATGCCACCATCTTCAAACCAGAGTCGTCTCCATCTGCTTTCTGTCTGCCCAGGATCCCTGAAAATTTCTGGTCTGCTAATTTTACCTTTTCTTGTTTCTTTCCTTTTGCATTTATTTTTTTAAGAGACGCATCCTTTCTATCATTTCATTGAGGTTTTGGTGGGACAGGTGAATGCTTGGGAGCATCTTGAACTTCTTGAACTAGAATTCTCACTTATTTTTAATTCCACCACCTCCCCATTGTTACATGATTTCTCACCTTGCCTCCTTCCTGTGTGTGCACAGCAAATTGAGTATGTCCTACCTGGTTAGGGGAAGATCATGGCACCTCTCCTTTGTTATCGCCATCGTTTTATGGATGAGAGGTGATCAAGGGGACAAAGGGGTGGTGGGATCACCAGTGAATAAAGGACACGAATGTTAGAAAGCAGTCAGCTGTGACGCTGAGGGCCTGTGGCCCCTCTGACCTTACAGGTCCTTGCGAAGTATGACATAGGACTGAGCATGTGACCATATGATGAAGAGGCGGAGGCACTTGCTTATTTGATGAACTTCATTCTTTGAGTCCAGCTGTTGCAAATGGTGCTTTGAGGCATGCGATATTTGAAAGCTGCGATTCTCTAATCCCGTGGGCTGCTTGGATGGTTGGTTTCAGGCACCAGCGAGCTGATTGGATCCCTGTGCTGCCCATGCAGTCTCTTTCTGCCACTAGGAGGCTCATTTAATGTTGTGCTAGAATTCTCAGGCGTGGGGATCCCTGGCCCTGCCATGGTCAAGGCCGTTGTTCTTGGCCCTCAGGGAGAGGTTTCTCTGCTCTGCACAGGTTGTCAGCGACACAGGCCTCATGTACGTCCTCTCTTCTTCACAGAGTGAAGGAAGATGTAGGTGGAGGCAGTGACCACGCTTGCCCAGGCTACTGTCAGTCAACTGGGAGCAGCCCTTGTGGGCTGGCCCCACACTGGCAGCAGGGCTGCCAGGTGCTGGGGCGGAGGAGAGCTGGTAACTGTTGTGGGAATGGTGCCTTTTGGCAGGTGGCTTGGCCAAAGTGTGGCAGAAACAATTCTCCCAGAACAAATTTGTTTAAATCGTGTGTTTTATACAAGCATAGTAACCGTCCATAAACTGAGGAAGCTTATGAATTAAATGTTGTATTTTTGGTTACTCCAGGTTTGAGAAGAAGCTGTCTGTGTTCACAGTGGGCGAGAGAAAGTTGAGACTACCGCAATGACCGAGTCCTACGTGAAGAGTGAGTGAGCAGGGTGGGTGGGGCTCCCAAGGGTAGGGCATCTGCTGGGCTCTCAGGCAGCCCTCAGTGTCACACCTGCTAGCTTTTGCGTTTGAGATGCAGATGAGCACATGGCATTGAGTGTGGTTTGAAGAAATGACTGTTGCATGAACACACTTTCTCTAAGATTTCATTAAAAAAAAGAAACAGTAGTCGCGTCTGCAGATACTGAAGCAGAGGGTGTCAGATTTGGCCGCAGGCTTAGTCTGGTGTGGGGGACGGTGTTTCCTGGGTGCAGGGGCTTTGTGTTGATGTGGGAGGGGTCCCTGTGTCTTCACCCCTTTCTACACCTTCCCCGGGTGCAGTGTCCACTCTGACTGGCCACTCTGCCCTTGCAGCCAGGGCCAGCAGTTTGCTGAGGGCATGGCCAAGAGCAGGGTGGAGGCGGGGGGAGACTTGTCCTTGCCCCACAGAGCTTCATCCCTAGGGGTAAGGATTTGTAAGCACTGCTTGCAGGCACCATGCCCTGACCTCGCGGCACACTGAGGATGATGGGGTCCTGTCCAGGGTGCTGAGCAGGAGAGACCTGGCTTCAAGTGTGGGGACAGGGTGATGAGGAGTCTGCAAGAGCAGGTGGTGGGACTGGCGTGCCACTCTGCAAGGGCAGGAGGGCCAGAGGGCCACCTGGGGGCAGCTTTCCACTTGGCCTTGAGCCTGCAACCGCTGCCTTTTATAGGAGCCACGGTCCAGCGGAGCGGGAGACATGAAGCATGCACGGCCTGGGACATAAGGTCAGGGGAGAGGTGGCCAGAGTGCCCTCAGAGCAGGCAGAAAGTGTGTTCCAAGAGAGACCCCGGCGAGCTAGGGGAGCGGGGCACATATGTGAGAGCGGCTCCTCCAGCTCTGGGTCGGAGCTCTCTCTGAGGGTGCTCTCTCCGAGTGGGGTTGGCGCCCGCCTGAGCACGCGCACCGGGCTTTGTCGCTGCAGAGCTGTCCACCATCCTGCTGGACGCCGTCACCGATAAGGACCCGCTGGTGCAGGAACAGGTGTGCAGTGCCCTGTGCGCACTTGGAGACTCGCAGCCGGAGGAAGCGCTCAGGGCGTGGGAGGAGTACCTCCGGCAGCACGGAAAGGTGAGACCACCGCGAGGCGGGGTGGGGCTGCGGGCCCCCGCAGGCCGGGGGCGGGGCTGTGGGGGGCGGGGCCCAGGGCGGGGCAGCTGGCCTGGCCGGAGCTCTAGAGCCCCAGGCCCCTGTGGGCACCTGCAAGTCCTAGCTCTCTGGAGGCGGAGCATTTCCAGGACAGATGACCCCGCTCTATCTTGTGGCCTGTGGGTTGGCCCTCTTGTAGGGGCACAGGGTAGTGAGAAGAGCACGTGGACAAGTGCTCTGAGAGCCGTAGAAGCTGGGGCATGCCTGCTGCCTTCAGAGAGGGGCTGCATAAGGAGGCCAGGGTCTCCTGCAGACCCGGCTAAGTTGGCGGAGGTGTGACCGGCTGCGGGAACCCCGTCGTGGGCTGTACTGAATGCAGCCCTGCAGGGATGTCGGAGCGCCATCGGACCCTGGGCACAAAAGCTCCAAGCCAGCCCTCTCTTCTTAGAATTTCCTCCTCTCTGGCGTCTTGGCTCCATGGTTCTATGACTCGGTTAGTTCCCTGTTGTCTGAAATAATTGTGCACGACGTCTAGTTTTCCTCAGTGCGTGGTTTAGTCTCCTTCCTGGAAGTGGAAGAGACTTTTGCAGTCTCAAAAGACCATTTTTCTTTTTTTTTTTATTTTTTATATTTTGATATGTAAAAAGGGATCTTGGGGCCGGCCTGGTGGTGCAGCAGTTAAGTTCACTCATTCTGCTTCGGCGGCCTGGGGTTCGCTGGTTGGGATCCTGGGTGCGGACATGGCACCCCTTGGCACGCCATGCTGAGGCAGGTGTCCCACATATAAAGTAGAGGAAGATGGGCGTGGATGTTAGCTCAGGACCAGCCTTCCTCAGCAAAAAGAGGAGGATTGGTGGCAGAGCTCAGCTTGGGGCTAATCTTCCTCAAAAAAAAAAAAAGGGATCTCTACAGTGTTAGTCCTTTCTTCCTCATATATCAACTGCCATGCCCTGGGGGAAATAGCCCAGTGCCGCTGCGTGGCCACTGAGTTCGTTGCATTGGCTTTGTGACCTCTTTGGTGAGAGTCTCCTTCTTCTCTCGGCTGTCCTAGCCTGTTGTGTCTGCGGAGGAATGCTTGGGTGGCCTGTGAGGGCTTTGGTTAGAGACACATACCTCCTAGACTAAGCCGGGGGGAGTGCACACTCCTGCCTGGGCACTGTGTGTGTGTCCACCCCAGTCTCCTGTGGCTTCATGCTGGGCGTCAGGGCCTACTCTGAGTGGCTGAAAGATTCCAGCACACACGACACCCTGAAGTCAGCGTCTGCTTGTTAGACAAAGAAGATTCAGGCTGCGTTGGCTGTTTGAGGAAATGGCCAAAGAATACTGAAGGTGGCTAAAAAAGCCTTTGTTATTTTTAGCAATTTGTAGCAAAATTTAAGTGTGCTTCATACTTGTCATTTCCTAGCTTGTTTATGATTTTACCCCTTATCCTTTTTAGTTTCTTTAAACAACTTAAAAACAAACCTCACAATTGCATATTTATAGTAAATGTATATTAAGTTGGAAGTTCTAACCTACAGAGTGTAATCCTTTCCAGTCGCCTCCCTCCCTCTCCCTAATGTCATCTGATCCACAAACTACTTCCGGGAGGTTTGGGCCACTTCTAGTTTCTACCATTCACTTGTGTTTCATCATAACCACACTCGATTGGGCTGCGTCTTAGACTGTGTGCACATTTCACTTCCGATTGAATCTGTCTCCAAAAGGATGTGGGGCAACAGAAAAAAGATATGCGGCACTGTCCAGTCATCAAATCTCAAGGCAGCATTTTGAGACACGTTTGATACTTTATAGGTGTCAGCTTCTGGAGGCTTCTGGTGCTCGTCCTGGACAGTGGCTGGCCTCCTGGTTTTAGACACATCCCATCGTATTCCTGTTAGCCCAGGCCAGCAGGGGTAAGGTGAACACATGGACAAACAGGCTTCTTCACAATGGCTATCAGGCCAGTGAAAGGGGAGTGATTTGGGGAAGAGGCAAAAATAGTTGTCTTAGTCTGTTCAGGCTACTATGACAAAAATGCCACAGACTGGGTGGCTTATACACAGCAGACTAGGATTTCACACCGTTCTGGAGGCTGGAAGTCCAAGATCAAAGTGCTGGCAGACTCGGGGTCTAGTGAGAGCTTGCTTCCTGGTTTATAGATGGCTGTCTCCTTACTGTGTCCTCACATGGCAGAAGGGATGAGGGAGCTCTCTGGGATCCCTTTTGTAGGGGCACTGATCTCATTCCTGAGGGCTCCACCCTCATAACCCAATCAACTCCTAAAGGCCCCACCTCCTAATGCCATCACATTGGGGGTTAGGGTTTCGACATATAAATTTGTGGAGGATACAGTCTATAGCAATAGTAAAACCAAATTTTCAAAAAGTAAAAGAAGTTTTTCTTTTTTTTCTTCTTATTTTTGGGGGCTGGGTCCAACCTCACATCCTCCCATCTCGTTTTCTCTAGAGAGTCTCGTCCTAACGTAAGGGAGTTTTAATCGGCCGCACATCAGCACGTTCGTATCCATAGTCTTCACACACAGGCTGCATGAGGCCAGTGACGGGCAAGCTCGTGTGTGGGGATCGGCCCTGTCACACTAGGTCCACTCAGCTTTAGTCACATGAACCCGCTCTATCTGTTAGAAAAGGAATCGATTCCCACTCACATAATGGACATTAGAGCCCAACGTCAAAACATGAGTTAAGACTTAATACTATTTCAACTCGAGTGGAGACTTTACTTTGATGCTGGGTTTTCCTACTAGGGGTTAAAATTTGATTGTGCTGAAGTGAACAGCTCTTGCCTACCTAGTTCAGGGTCTTAGGTGTGTGCTGATATTCACCACATGCATTAGGACCATGTGGTGACTGACCGACCTTTGAGTCACTTGCAGAGGTCCTGCCAGCAGATGGCTCAATCATCTAGTCAGCAGACTCAGTCAATTCTAGGGGAAAAGGGTGATGGGGTCATTGGCAACCTGCTAACACATCAAAATGGTTGAGCTGAAAATCTCATCCATACCCCTTCTGGGCCTGTATCGTTGGCAAGCCAGCCTGGTGCACGTCCCTCAGCCGTCGCTGTTCAGTTCCTACTCTGCTAAAATGACAAGGGCGGCTGTGGTTGCATAGCTCTGCATGCGGAGCCCCGTGAGGCCTTCCCCTCTGTCAGGGGAGCCCTCCACAGCTCGTTCTGATGTGACTAGTGTCCTACCCACTGAATTTTCCAGAGCAACATAAAATGGAAATAAAAACCTTTTCTTTAAAAATAAGCAGCTATTGCAATCCCTATCAAAATCCCAATGATGTTTTTTTTGCAGAAATAGGAAAACCATCCTAAAATTTATATGATATCCCAAGGGATCCCGAATAACCAAAACCTTCCTGAAAAAGAAGAACAAAGCTGGAGGACTCACATCCTGATTTCGAAAGTTACTACCAAGCTGCAGTAATCAGACCCGTGTGGTCCTGGCCGAGAGGAAGAAATACAGACCAATGCAAGAGAACAGAAAGCCTCGCATATATGGTCAAATGGTTTTCGACAAGGGTGCCAAGACCATTTAATGGGAAAAGACAGTCTTTTCAACAAATGGTACTGGGGAAATTGGATATCCGTGTGCAGAAAGATGAAATTGGAGCCTTACCTCGTACCACATAAAAAAATTAACTCAAAATGGATCACAGACCTAAATGTAAGCCCTAAAACTAAAACTCCTAGAATAAAACATAGGACAAGAGCTCCATGACATTGGATGTGGCAATGATTTCTTTGATATGACACCAAAGGCACAGGCAACAAAAGAAAAAATAGACAAATTGGACTTCATGAAAATTTTTAAAAATTTGTACGTCATATATGTTATCCACAGAGTAAAAAGGCAACCCACAGAATGGAAGAAGATATTTGAAAATCATACATATGATGAGGGATTAATACTCAGAATATATAGAGAGCTCCTAAAACTCACCTACAAAAAACGAAACAACCTGTTTCAAAAATGGACAAAGGAGTTGAATAGAAATTTCTCCAAAAAAGATATACGAATGGCCAATAAGCACATGAAAAGATGCCATCACTAATCATTAGAGAAATGCAAATCAAAGCTACAATGAAATACCACCTCACACCCATTAGGATGGCTAAAATAAAAAAACCAGAAACAAGTGTTGGCAAGGATGTGGAGAAATGGGACCCCTTGTGCACTGTTGGTTAGAACATAAAGTGGCACAGCCACTGTGAAAAACAGTATGGCGGTTCCTCAAAAAATTAAAAATAACCATATTAGCACAATCCCCCTTCTGGGTATATACCCAGAATTCGAAAGCAGGGTCTCAAAGAGATATCTGCACTCCCATATTCACACAGCATTATTCACAACAGCCAAAATGCAGAAGCAACCCGAGTGTTCATCGACGGATGAATGGATAAATGAAATGTGGTATATGCAAACAATGGAATGTTATTCAACCTAAGGAAGGAAGTTCTGCAATATGTTACAACATGGATGAACCTTGAGGACATTAGGCTAAGTGAAATAAGCCAGTCACAAAAAGACAAATCCTGTATGATTCCACTTACACTCATGCTTTGTTTAACAACAAGGATACGTTCTGAGAAATGTGTCAGGTGATTTTGTCGTGCAAACATCATAGAGTGTATGAAGGGGAACAAAATTTGCCACCCTAAATTGTGTCTCTTTAACATAGGATTATTTTAGGCTGATTATTTTTAAGAAACGAAAGACTCAAAGTTTTTCTCTTTACCTCCTCCTTAACAGCCTAGAAGAATTCAGATAAAAAACTTGTCTCAGGAAGCGAGGTATTGCCTTAGCATAACATGAACTAGGTTGCAGACAGGGGGAACCTAGAAAAGGCTGTTTGCTGGGCTCACTTCTGTGTTCTCTTTCTCTGTGGCTGAAGAAACACTGATTTTCCAAATATTTGCCCCTTCTCACCTACCTGTGAATTGCCTTCCTTCCCTTTGAAGTCCCCGACTCTCCCCACCCCACCCCAACGTCTTTTTTTGTCTTTAGCTCAGGATGGTATTTAAGGTGAGGGCTTTGGCCATTTTGGTGAGTTGCTCAGTTTTCCTGGGTTTCTCCCATGTATACATGTTGTTAAACTTTTGTTTGTTTTTTTCCTGTTATTCTGTCTCATGTCAATTCTTAGACCAACCAGAAGAACCTAGATGGGTAGAGGAAAATTTCTTCCTCCCCTACAGCACTTACACAAACCTAGGTGGTACAGCTCACTCTACATCAAGGCTGCATGGTACTAATCTTATCAGACTACAGAACGTCACTATGTGGCACGTGACTGTGCATGAGATACTGAGTCATCATAGTCTAGGGACAGAGAGAATGGTGGTGGCTGGGGCTGCGGAGAGAAAGATGGGGAGTCACTGTTTAATGGGGACAGTCTCAGTTTCACAAGATGAAGAGAGCTGTGTGGTTGAATGGTAGTGATGGTTGCACGACGATGTGAATGTGTTTAATGTCACTGAACTGTATAGTTGAAAATGGGTAAGATAGTAAACTTTATGTTATGTGTATTTTAACACAATAAAGAAAAGAAAAAAAAAAACCCCAGCAGTTGTGTTTTTAGGACATTTTTGTTTTCCTCCAATAAAAGTTATATACTTTTATTTAAGGAGGCTTGTTACCGTGTTAACTTTCTAGCAACAAGAAGCTTTCCTTGAAGAAAGATGTTCCTGAGTGGGGCCTTTTCCAACTGTTAATGGAGGTAGGGTTTTAAAAATACAGTATTTACAGCCATAAAACAAAACAAATTCAGACCAAATCCTAGAACAGAAGTAATGCATATCCAAATTTTGGGGTTTTTTCCAAAAAGATATAGATTCCTACAACACATTTTTCAGGGAATGCATCTTTGCCATGGGGGCCTCAGTTTCCCAGTTACATAGCCCATCAGCAGTTTACTGGCCCAGCTGACCCCGTCTGTTCCACTGCACTGAGGGGCAAAGTGTCCCGCACAGGGTGACTGACGGGCTGTGACCGGAACCCGTAGAACTCAGCCCCAGGAACTCCATCTCTCCATTCTGTTTTTCTGGGGGAAAAAAGCAAAGATCCTCCATCAGATGTCCTTATATTTGAGAAAAGAAAACAAAGGCAGCTAAAAATGGGTACATAATGCACTTTGCGATGTATTTCCAAGACCAAGAACCAGAAGGCAAAATATTTTGAGAAAACAGAAGTAATGTGAGTCCAAATCAAGTGGGAACCAACGTGCCAGCTGCTTTGTCACAGCTGTTCTTCCCAACTTGGCAGGAATTTTGATTAAATAAAATCATACTAATTTACATTCATTTTTTATTCTTTCCCCCAAATTCTCTCACTCTTCAAAATAAACACACCTCCTAAGCCAGCCATGCCTCTCCCACTGACCCCCCAGTGGAGGCACTCAGCTCGGCTCCAGGCAGGAGGGACTTCCAAAGGACTGCTTGGTGTCCCGTGTGGGAAGAGCATCCAAATTAAGAAAATCTGAAATAATAATTTATCAAGTTTAAACTTTAAATGCAAACAAGCTTGCTTACAGAGGCCTGAAAAGAAAGGGAAGTGAGCATTCACACCAGAGGGGCCGACGCAGCGGAAGCGTGACCGTCACCTTTGCCATCAAAGACTTGCCACCTCACAGGATGGCTGGAAAATTCAATGCTGAGAAAAACACCTAAAACTGAAGCTTTCCCTCAGAAAATGACAGCAGGTCTCACGTTAACTGTTAGTAGACCTAGAGATGTTTATGTTCTACGTGGGCTTTTTTTCAGGAACAGACAGCATGTCCACTGTGACCTGGTGCTGAGTAATCAGTGTGTGTAACACATTCAGCAGACACATGTTGGTGCCAACCGCTAGTGCTCAGAGCAGCATGCATGGCCGAGCGCTGTGAGGGGGTCAGGCTTCCCCTGGCGCTCTGTCCCTCTGCCGCACACTGAGGCCAAGTTGGTATCCATTCCATTCAAACAGTGGCCGGACATAGTACTTGGCTTTCTTCACCAAGCTGGTGCAAGGCGTTTCTCCCACGTGGGACGGCACCGACACGTCCACCTGCAGACAGTGCAGCTGAGATGGCTGTTGGCATAGATGTAGGCACCTGGCTGCCCAGCGCAGCTGCTCACGGCCTCTGCAGGAGGGAGCTCGGGGGTGCCTTGGTGGGGAGGGGGCTCTCACCCCGGGATCGTGTGCCTTCAGTAGCGGCTGCTCCAGGGCCTTTTCCTCCAGCCTGAGTGGCAGTCCCACTCCGCTGTGCACCCCTGCTTTCACAGAGTGAGACCGGCCCGAGTCTCGTCCTCTCTTTCTTGCCCCTTTTCTTCCCTTCACCCAGGCTCTGTCCTGTCCCCAACTGCACTGAGATGGTGCGCCCCCATTGTCTGCACCCGCTGTCTGGATGTGCTGTTCCTGCAAGTGGGGGGTCCTCAGAGAGAGGCCAGTCTTGGTCTTTCCTGGCTCCCAGCATATTTCTTGGGCTTCCCTCCAGTCTCTATGACTGCCCTGGGACCCCTGGCGGGATGGAGCCCTTCCCTTGGCGAGGCTCTGCTCATCTTGGAGTTTCTTCATCATGTGAAGTGCCTTACTTTCCTGGCTAGCCCCCTACCTGTCACTGCAACTTCAGTTGTCATGGGCACGTCCCCAGTGAAGGCGAAGAGGACATGTGCCAGATGGGATGGCAGCTGGGAGAAAGCTGATGAGAGGGCTGTGTCAGGGCAGAGGTGGGGCTGGGGCCAGAGGCAGGACTTGTGGAGGGTTAACCCAGGAGATGGGTCAGCCAGGACCACCTGGAGCAGGGGAGAAACTGTGGGGTTATGGCTAAGGGGGGCATGGGGCAGTGTTGTCATTTTACATCTAAGTCTCAGGAGACTCAGGCATGTTCATAAGCTGGGGAGGGGCTGTGAGACAAACGAGTCCTGGTCGCAGAGAGCTTTGTTGTGATAGGGTCGCTTCGCTGAGGACAGGAGGGGCAGTCCCTCCTGGGACATGGGAGGGCAGAAGTCCACCAGCTTACCACCTGCGTGTTGTTGGCCTTGTGCAGAACGCTCCTAGCCCTTCTGAAGAGCGGGTACCCTGCACACACTTATCCAGGCCCTTCTTCGTGTGAGGCATTAAGTAGGTTCTGTGGGCAAGAAGGATGGTCAGATGTGCTCCTTTCCTCCCGTGGTGGGGCAGAGATGGATGATTTTGTTTTGAGTAGCCCCAGTAGAGAGAGAGGCGCCGGCAGGGTGCCGGGGTGCTTGCCTTACCTTCCACGATGTTCCGCAATGTTTTCTCTCCTCAGCTGGCACATCCATACCGGACGATGATCCTGAGGGCCATGGAGGTGGTTGTGAGCAATCACATCAGTGAGCTGGACAAGGACATGGCCAGGGCCATCATCCTCCTGGCCTCCAGCGAGATGACCAAGGCGAAGGTACAGGGGGCGCCAGCCAAGGCCCCCACCCTGACCTGGCAGACTCGGCCCTGGCTTGGGGATAGAAGCTTGTTTCTGGGTCTTTCTAGCGCGTTAAAAATTGTGCCTGGCTGCCTTGGGCTGACCCTTGGTCCTGTACACTGACTGGCCCCCTGGGGCGGGGAGGGTCACCTCATAATTTCAGAGGTGGAAACTGAAGCAGAGAGCAAAATCCCTAAACTCTGAGGGCAAATGTAGGGCTACCGGTGCCCACATCTTGGTGTTTGGGGGCGGTGCTGGGCTCAGCCTGGGACCCGGCCCACAGTGGCAGCACTTGCTTTGTCACAGTGAGCCTGAAAACAGGCAGCTTGTCCTTGGCCGGTGTGACGGAGGGCAGAGTGTCTCGTTTTTGCCTCTTGAGCCATTTCAGGGTGAGGTACTGCCTCCTTTGGTTGGTTGGGGTCTGAGTTCAGATTCTTTTTTGGATACAGGAATTGGTTTATGACTGGCAGCAGGCTGCCAGCAACGTCCTTGTGGCTGTGGGAAAGAGGTTCATTGGCCGAGTGATGGAAGAGATGCTGAGCAAGTTCCAGCCTGGGATCCTGCCCCACTGTTTTGTTGTGCAGACGCTCGCCAACCTCTCTGTCTCCAATGGTAGGCGACAGCTTGTCCTTGACCTCCTTCTGCCCGTGTTCTTGAGCAAGTCATGAGGACCTTTGAGAGCCCACTGCTGCCTCAGTTCCTCACCACCCGACCCAGCCTGTGCAGAAGGAGCCCTGGCTGTGTGGCCAGGGTGCCCTCTGCCTCTCCCTGGGGCACAGAGGGTGCAGGAAGGATGGGGGCTGGCAGTGGGGCCTCTGTGACAAGTTCCCTTCTTGCAGTGTTCGGCATGGTGCCCTTCCTGACGTCCATCCTGAACACCATGCTGCCCATGCTGGGCATGGCCAAGCACGACACGATGCGGGTGGTGTTCTGCTGTGGTAAGATGGTCTCCACGGGCAGGGGCTGGGTGCTGCCTGCCCATTCCTTGGCCTTTTGTCTCCATTGTCCCTTTGGGAGGGGCCGTGGCTCCTTTAGGCGCAGGAGGTGGGCAGAACAGTTAGAGGAAGGGTGACTGCAGAGGCTTGGGCTGGGTGGGCACTGCTGGAAGCAGAGATTCAGCCTCTGTCCTCTGGCTGCTTCTCTCTACTGCTGGGTAACCCTCCTAGCCTACACCATGATCCTCTGAGGCCTGGACACCTGGGAGTGCGGGAAGAGACTTCCTCAAAGTCACAGTGAATTCCCATTTCTCTCCCCGCTCCATGCTGAAAGAGTGAGCACTCCCTGGGCATCTTGGAACGGGGTATTCACTCTCCTCCCACCTTCTGTGTCTGTGCTCTCTGTGTGCCTGGGCAGGGGGCGGCGCCTCGTGGTGTGGCCCTTGGTGGGAAGGGAGGTGTTCCTGTTTTAAGGGAAGCAGAGGGTCCTGAAACACAAGGGGTATGGGGGCCTGGGCCTGCCCTAGCAGCCACCACACAGCCCTCGTTCTTTGGCTTCCTTGTGTCCCCAGCGTCCCGATGACCCATCTCAGGAAAACTGCCAGCTCTGGTACTGAGGGGAGGGAATGGGAGCACCCAGGCTGACGGAGGTCCCCCAGGAGGACTGGACCCTCGTTAATCCCCCATCCTCCTCGGCTGGCACCAGCAAGGGAAGGGCATGGCAGGGCCTGTGGACGTGCGGGAGGGCGTGGTGAGGGCCTGGTTACAGCAGGGGCATGGTGACGTGATGGGGGCAGGGGCAGGGGCTGCACAAAGCTCAGCTGAGGGGTCAGATCTTTGCCAGCTGACCTTGTGTCGCTGCCACCTCTTGGTGCACCAGAGAAGGGGTGGTGGTTGTGGAGGGACCCTGAGGAAGCTGCCATCACCACCCACACCTGAGGGCTTTTGTAGTAGAGGCCTAGAGCTTTGGGCTCCAGCCCACCCTGCCCACGATGGCTTTGGGTCCAGGATCTCCCTCCTCACCCCCCACCCAACTCTTAGGGGCCGAGGAGGGGCTCCAGCTCCTGCCAGCCCTCCTCACAGCCCCAGCGCTCCCACCTCTCCTTTCCCTGCCATGGCCTCTTTGTGCCTTCCTCTCGCAGGCTCCTCCCACTTGTGAGTGTCGGCAGGCTCCTTGGGTTGAATGATAGAAATGCTCATCGACCAACCTAATTTTGGCTAAGAAGGGATTTGTGACAGGATCATGCGGCAGCTGAGCCAGGAATTCCCACTCAGCTGGGAATGCTGGAGCAGGACACTGAAGGGACCGAGACAGGGTGGTGGGGGTGTAGGGGTGTGGACCTTAAGTGAATACTTCGGTAAAAACAGGACTGGGAAGTGTGGGGACTGGGGAGGATGGCCTAGGGCTAGCTGCCTCCAGGCTGGAGGGGGAATAAGAGCCAGGTGTCTGACCGGAGTGTTGAGTCATTGGTGGCTCAGCACACCTCTTCTGAGAAGCACACGCATCAATCCTTGCACCTGCACAGGCTCTGAGCAGAAAGCTGGCTTGCAGTTCTGAAGAATTCTTGGTCCCTGCCTCTTCACAGGCCTAAAGCCCCCTGCAGTTTTTACCATGTTGATCTTTTGTATGTGAAACAAGTGGGTTTAGCCAACACACACTGTTGTTGGATGCTCTCATGTGGAAATGTGCACTCCGTGCTATGAACAGCACGTTCAGTGTCTGCAGTTGGAGGAGAGAGGGGTCTTGCCCATTGGCATGGCCTCAGTCAGGCCAGTAGAGTCTACATTGGCCCATCAGTGGCATGGGTGGGCTGAGGGAGGGCTGAGGCCTCCTGCCCTTCCAGGCAACCTCTGCTTCTGGGCAGATCTGTGTCCACTGTAGGAAGGAGGCTCAGGTCCAGCTGAGAACAGGGGCACTGGGCTGAGAACAGGAGTAAGCGCACACTTGAAGGTTCTCACTCGTGCAGTTCACAGGATGCTGTGGCCAGGCAGGAGGGGATGGGGAGAAGACCCCAGAGACAGCACCGACGTTTCCAGACAGCTGGCACACGGTTGGCCTGGCCACACTGTCCAGCACCAAAAGGCAGGCAAAAATTACTGCCCGTTAGGAAAGCCTCTAATAGGAAAGAGTGCACCCAGATAAACAGAAACCTGAGACTTAGGGGAGGCAGGCAGTTCTAGGAGAAGAAAACAGACAAGAAGGAAAATCTGTAAAAAGAAGATGATACATTCATGAGATGAGCATGGTGCTATGAAGATGCTACATTCAGAGAATATAGTTGAGCTTTTGAGAATTAAAAAACGTGATAACAGAAAGCTTGGAAGAGAAAGTTGAGGAAATCCCCCAGAAAATAGAGCAAAAATGCAAAAATATGGAAAACGAGAGGAAAGGAAGAATTAGCAGGCTAGCCCATGAAGCCAGGATTTGCATAACAGACACCTTAGAGAAAATAAACAAAGTGGAATGGGGGAGTGGTGAAATAATCCCCAGCATACCTGGAACTGGAGATGTTCCAGATAGAAAGGTCCTTGAGTACCCACACCAAGGTGCTTTTGTGGGGGAGAATGGTCCAAGAGGAGGGTGGGGAAATGGAACGGCCTTGGCTTCTCCCCAGCTCGAGGGAGAGCGCGGCACAGCCCTGACGGAAGAGGCCAGTGGGAATTCGAACCCTGTCTGGATGCCCTTGGAGGGTGGAATAAAGACTTTTTTTGAGAAGCAAGGGTCAGGAGGGGTGTGGCTCCACATGCTGTGGCTGAGGGAGACCCAGGATGCCTGGCAGGAGAAGTGGAGTTTGTATTAGTGCCTTGTGCCTGGGGAACCGAGGAGACTCACACCTGAGACACTCCCTAGCTCCAGGAACGAAGCCGTGTGTGAAGCGAGTGGGTTGACTCTGAGCAGCTGTGTGTGTGTGTGTGGTGGGGGTGGTCCTAGAGGGAGGGCTGGAAAGGGCTGGCCCTGGCCTTGTGGGGAATGGGTGAAGAACATTGCAGATGCATTGGAGATAAAGATCCAAACCCCAGTGTTTACTTTTAGAGAAAGGGAAACTGGGGGGAAGCGGATGTGAGAATTGCTCTTTTAGCCTGTGTGTGTGTGTGTATAACTGATTAAAAATTAGAACCTAATAACAAATTGGGGGAGTGGCTTTTGCTTCTGGCAACATAGTGGTGTGTTATCCTGAAAAGCCTTCCCACTACAAAATACCTAGAAATGCTGGTCAGTTGGACCAATATCCTGAGTGTACAGCCCCAGGAGGTAAGAGAGTAGGGTGGACAGGGAGGGTGGGAGAGGGGCGCTGGGTGGGAGGCCTCCTGCTGCCCCAGGGCACCTGCCGCCTGGATTTCAGCAGCTGTGTGGGCAGGCGGGAGACAAGGCCTTGCAGTGCTAGGCAGGGGAGGAGCAGAACCCACCTGAACTTCACCCTCCAAGGCCCCATACTCAACGAGAGGACGGCCAACGAGACAGAAACCTTCCGCTACATGGCTCCAGGAGGTGGTTTTCTTTTAAAATTTTAAATTCTCTCTCGAGAGCTTGTAGCCATGGTTGCTCTCACGTAGATGCAGGATTCAGGTTTATTCTTTCTGTTGGCCTGGAAAGCCTAAGCTGAGAAATTAGCCTTATAATTGGGCTGGGTTAGAGGTGTCCTGGGCAGGGGTATGTGAAGCTGCAGATTCCTGGGGGAGGTCACCTTCAAGGTGGTCTCACATGCTACTGCAGCCCCCTCCTCCGGCACTGGGCTGGCCGGCTGGGGCTCTGGCCTTGGGATCCCTGGCCGTGTGGTGCTGCCTCTCCTGGCCGGTCCTCTCCACATGTCTGGCTTTCTTTTCCAGTCTCCTCTTCCGCTACCCAGCCCATTTACAGGTCTGTACCTGAGCATGGGCTTCCCCACCTGGAAGTCCATGGCGTAGTCATCTTCACAGACACAGGGCACTGTCTCAGGGTCTGCCCACCTCAGCCTGGTGCTCTCCACCTTCGGTCCCCTTCCCACTCTCCTCGCACCCAGGACTTCTTCCTGCACGTGCCAGGGGTGCCCCACGCCGTGCCTGACATTGCAGCCCTTGCCAAGTGTGTGGCATGTGTGTCTGTGAGGGGTGAGGTGGGCACGGTACCCCTTCCTTTTACTTTCCAGCAGACTGGAGTGGGCCGGGTGCTGTGGCCTGAGGGCGTTTGGGGAGGTTGGTGCCTGTGGTGGTTTCCTAGGTCCGCCATAACCAAGTGCCACAATCTGAGGGCATGTGGGGAGGTTGGTGCCTGTGCTGGTTCCTAGGGCTGCCATAACCAAGTGCCACGAACTGAGGGCATGTGGGGAGGTTGGTGCCTGTGCTGGTTCCTGGGGCCGCCATAACAAAGTGCCACAAACTGGGAGCCTTACGACAACAGAAATGTTTTCTCTCACAGTTCAGGAGGCCAGAAGTCTAGCATCAAGGTGTTGGCAGGGTCACGTGCTCTCTGAGACTCTGGGGAGAATCCTTCCATTCTCCCCTGGTGTCTGGAGGTGGTCGTCCATCCTTGGCATCTTGGCTTGTGGCTGCATCACTCCATTCTGTGGCTGTGCCGTCTCTGTGTGTCTGTGTTTCTCCTCTTCTTACAAGGACACAGTCATGTTGGATTTAAGGCCCACCCTACCCCACTGTGACCTCATCTTAACTAATTACATCTGCAAAGACCCTATTTCTGAAGAAGGTCCCATTGTGAGGTTCTGGGAAGGACGTGAATTTGGGGCACACTGTCCACCCCAGTACCGTCCTGGAGTCCTGCACTTGGTCAGTGTGTTTGGGAGCGTGTCTTGCAGGCCATTGTGGGATTTCAGGAGGGGCAGGCATGCAGATGTAGGGTGTTGCAAGTGAGTCTGTGTGGCCGTGGCCCACAGCTGCTTACACTGTGGCATCATCGTAGCTCTGCAGCACTTCAGCGAGAGCACCCTGGAGTATCTGGCCAACCTGGACCAAGCCCCTGACCCCACGGTCAGGAAGGATGCCTTTGCCACCGACATCTTCAGTGCCTACCACATCCTCTTTCACAACTGGCTGCAGAGCCGTGAAGCCAAGGTATGGCCTGTTCAGTCTGTTAAGAACCTGTGGTCTCACCTTGCTGGCCACTCTGTCCCACCCCAAGCCTGGCCCACCACCACGAGGGCCCACTCCAATCACCTGGGCCTCTTCTTCTGTCTTCAGGCTCTCAGTGGGGAACGATTTGGCAGGGAGGGGGATGGAGCCCTGGAGTCTACACGTGTCCCGCCCCCACTGCTGGTGCCCTGCACTCAGGAGGTGGGGGTCTTGTCAAGGAGTGGGGGTGCCTTGTGCAGGGTCTCACCTGCAGGTCCCCATAGGATATGGCTTGTTTGCTGAGACCTAGTTGCTGTGGACACACCCTTCCTGCCGCCAGCCTACTCTGCCCTGAGGCCTCAGCACTGCCTGGGGGAAGAGCTGAGCCATGATGACAGCATGGTGGATGGGTGTCTCCTGCATAGGCCCTGTGGCCTGGCCCTTTAGGACCCCCTGGTCACGTGATAATCTGGGTTTACTCACTTCCTCTCCTGGGTTCTTGGTGAATGGGCTCTTTGCTGTTCTGTCCCGTGTTGACTGTGAGCATTGCTGAGCTGGTTTGGAAATTAACACCATGTCACTGTCTCCTCTCAGCTCCGGCTTGCTGTGGTGGAGGCCCTGGGGCCCATGAGTCACCTGCTGCCCAGCGAGAAGCTGGAGGAACAGCTCCCCAAGCTCCTGCCCGGAGTCCTCGCTCTCTACAGGAAGCATGCTGAGACCTTCCACGTGTCCAAGGTGCATGCCCGTGTGCTGTGGCCTGTGCAGAGTTCAGTCCACTGTCCGATATCAGAGGACCCGTCTCAGACAGGAGGGTGTAGGCACCCAGCAGAGAGTAGCCCTGAGAGCTTTTCAGATTCAGTGGTGGATGGTGTCAACTCTAAAAATAAACAGCTAGTTATTTTACCAGCAAAATAAGTTTATTTGGGAATGGCCAAGGAATTGCAATTTGGGACACACAAACTATGGTGAACCATAGGCAAGTCCAGAGAACAGAGGAGGGGAGCGTTCTTTTATAGAGGAAAAGAGAAAGTTGGGAGGGGCTATTCTGAATGAAAATTCATTGGAAGAGAGTGAGAGTTGGGGTTGTGGCAGTTTCTCATTGGCTGGGTTGATGCTGGGCAAAGAGAAAATCTTCCTTCCTCTTGCTGAGGTATGTAAAGTAAGCTTCTTCCTGCTGAGGTATGTAAAGTAAGCTGACAGTGGTACATATTTGAGAGCTCCCCGATCAGGGCGTCCCAGCTTCATTTTGAATGAGGTTTTCCCTTATTCATTTTCACATTTACCCATCTTGATCAAAATCTTTCCTTGAAAGCATTGCTGATCAAGAGTCAGGTTTTCCACATTTGGTGGTTTTGTCCCTTGGTGCCAGGAATGATCTTTCCTGGTTGTCATGTCCCACATTGGAGGGCAAGTAGACAGACTGGAAAATAGTGAGGCCACATTTAAGTAACAAGGAAGGGTGGAAGCGAGAACTCTCAGACATTTCCCATCTAAAGTCTATATCTTATCAAGGTTGTAATCATTGGAGATCATCTCACAGTGCTGAGCTATCATCACCCTGTTGGATATGTTGTTTCTACAAAGATTTGACAGGTAGCAGGTACAAAGCTTAAAAGTAATTGTAGAAAGCAGAATTGAAAGTAATATGACAAATCTAGTTTGCATGATGGTTCTACACCAGGAACCCAAACCTGAAGGTAACCAGCTAAATAGGTCAAAAGACCAGGGGTCATCAGGTGAAATTTGTTGTAACCAATGGACTCGTTTCCTGATCTTGTGTAACTGAGTTTCTACCTCTTCAGAGGCATTTATCTATGTGCAGCAGGTGGTATTTCCTACTGCACCAATGCTTCCTTTTTCAGCAAATAGGTAATCAAGTGCTTTGTCCAAAGCAAATTTAGCTAGTGAGTCCAGTGATTGTTGTTGAGCTGCCACTGGTCTGGCTGTTGAATGGGCTAGCTCTCCTAATGTTAGAGAGAGATTTCTGATCATGCATTCATCGGCACTTACCCTGACCCAGGAGAGAAAGGCTCTCCTAACGGAGGCAAACCCAGAGTCACGTCTGTCTCCCGCAAGTTCTTGTTTAAGGTAGCTCTGGAGGCTTAATGGGGTGGACCAATGGGAGGCCTAAGATCTTTTATGGATGCTGACAGGGACAGTTAAATGTCCCAGTAAGCATTGACCTCCAATTTGCCAGCTATCTAAACATTCATTTGCCCATGGGAAATGCCATCCACCGCAGACAAAAATGAAACCAGGTGGGGCACAGAGGACTCCAGCTAAAGTCTGGCTATCCATAGATCCATTAGCTGGAATTTCCTGATTGACCCTTTCAAGCCAATGATCAGAGGGGTTGGGATGACATTCTGTGAGATGCCTTCCCGTCCAAAAGGAGTGTTTTCTAAAAGCCTCACAAAGAGGAGTTAGCCCGTTTGTTTTGCAGGGGAGCAGATCATGTTTAGGTAAGGGAAAGAATGTAGGGGAGTGAAGTTTGTGCTGTTAGCAAAAGTGGAGCCAGTCGCAGTTATGACTGGGGAGAGGTTGGAACAAGGTTCAGAAACATCAGGCTGTAACAGCTGACTCGATAGGTTACACCTGCAGGCTTGTGGGCATCATCGACAGTGACATTTGGGACTAAGGAGAAATTGGTTACAGACAAGACCAAGGGGTCTCTGACGTCATGAGCAGATCTGAGCTTCTGATGACAGATCTGACATTCAGAAAGGTTTCCCCCTTTTGCAGTAGATTGGGAAATGCAGATAACAGCATTGTTTTTCCAAAAAGAGGGAGAAAATAAGGTGAGAAGCAACAGTTGGAAAAAAGTGTACAGACCTGGTGCGATCATCTTAGGAAAACTGTCCGCTTCAGCTGTCATCTACTTCAACTCCTGGCAATCTTTGCTTTCAGGTCACCAGTTGCAGGCCCAGTCAGGGTTTGGTGCTTTCTTTAGATGTGACACATGGATCCAAGAGTCTCTTCCCTGGAGTTTGGCAGCACAAGGGTTGGTTAACAGTACCTGATAGGGGTCTTTCCAATGGGATTGAAGAGAGTCTTTCTGGAGGTGTCTTTTCTAATAGACGAAATCCCCGGGTTATAACAAGTGATGCTTAAGGTCTTTTTCTCCTGGGAGCACGCTGTAAAAGGATTGCTCTATCAAAGCACGGTTATTTTCAACAGAAGCATAATTAGGCCTTTACAATATTGAAGTATATCTCTTCTTATTGGCTGTGGATTAAAAGAAGCAGGAGCCAGGTGCATTGGACGTCCAGTGATTAGCTCAAAGGGTGAGAACTTACATGGGTTCCAAAAAGGGTGGATCTGAGCTTTAGAAGGACTGATGGCAGTACCAGTGGCCAGGGTGTTTGAAGGGTATCTGCAGGTTTTCCCAGTTGAGTCTGAGGGTACCATTAGTACGTTTCACTAGGCTTGAAGATTGAGGGTGGTTCGCACAGTGAAAACGCTGTGGAGCTGGCTGGACAGTAGAGACTTGTCGAAGCACTCGACTGGTGAGGTGAGTTCCCTGGTCACTGTGAACTTCATGGGAGGTTCCCCAGGTGAGGACAATGTTTTCTAATAAAATTTTAGCTACAGAAGGGGCAGTAGCCTGTCTGCAAGGGAAAGCTTCAGTCCAGTGAGAAAACATGCAAACCATGACTAAAACATATTTATGTCCATGAGACGGGAGAAGCTGAGTAAAATCCACTTGCTAAACCTTGAATGGTCCATTGGATAATTTAGTTTCCGTGGGCGGTACAGACAGGTTTCTCAGGACTGTATTTTGGGCAGGTGGGGCAAGCAAGGTAAGCACTTTTTGTGACCTTGTTAATATTTCCCCACCAGTGTGGGGAAGGGTATCATTTCATCAGTAGACGGATGATTTAATGCATGTACAGTGGCCAGCAGTAGGAATTTGAGAGTCTCTGGCAGGACTGGATTAGTATTTGGCCCAAGACAGAGTTCTCTCTTTTTATCAAACCACCAGTTATTAGGTTTCCAATATTGCTTTTCCTTTTCTGGGGCCAAGTCTTGGGCATCTCTAGTCAATTTTTCTAGGTTATCATTTGGGGGAACATCTCTTTGGACCATGACAGAGGTTTGTTATTGGTTCTTTTGAGAGCAGTGTTCTTGGCAGAAGTATCAGTCAGGTGGTGTCTTCAGCTTCCAGAGAGTTAGTGGAATGCCCAGGGACCCTAATAATAGCCAAAGTGGCAGACAAGAGTATGCCATCTAATAATCTCTGGACGTAACAGCCATCTTTAATTTTATCCCTGCTGGAAGTAAGGAAGTCTCTCTGTTTCCATAGCATTCCAAAGTCAGGAGCTACTCCAAAGGCATATCTATTGTCGGTATAGATATTTGCTTGGCCAAAATGTTATATGGATATGTAACATAGAAACATCTAGTTTTATCCTTAGTCAAAATGCAGGCCTGAGTAAGAGCGTATAATTCAGGGAGGTAGTTGAGGGCAAAGGTGCTGCCTCAGTGGCTTCAAAAGGAGTTGCAGAAGCCTGCCCTGCATGATATTTACCATTTTCACCCTTTGAATAACAACCATTGGTAAACCACAAAAAGTCAGCGTTATCCAAAGGAGTTTCCCGTAAGTCGTCACAGGGTCAGGAGGTGGTCTGTCAGTATTAAGCAGCTGTGAGGGGTTTCGTCAGTGGGAGGGGAGGAGTAGCAGGGTTAATGTTGTTACAGTGAGTCACATGAGAAGCGGTTAGCAAGAGGCTGTCATAGGAGGTGAGATGACTGGTTGAAAGGTTGAGTGCAATGAGAGTTTCGAAGAGCTTCTACCACACGGGGTACAAGAATAGTTAGTGGGACCCCATGGCTATTTCTTTGGTGGCCTCAACCAAGAGGGCAGTAGCAGGAATGGCTCTGAGGCAAGGGGCGTATCTTCATGCCACAGGGTCTAGCTACTGACTGTAGGACCCTGTGGGGCGAAGGTGATCTCCGTGTTTTGGGGTGGGTACTCCGAGAGCGTTTCCTTCCTCATCTATGAAGAGGAAAAAGGGGAGTTGCTAGGGTGTCCAAGGGCAGGAGGATTTATCAAGCTTTCCTTTAAGGTATTAAAAACTAGGTCCTCCTGATCTTCCCAAGTAATAGGGTCAGATTTGGTGTTCTTTAGTAACGTATATAAAGACCGGGCTGTGAGAGAAAAGTTTGGAATTCAGTTCCCACAAAAGCGAGCCAACTCGAGAAAACCTTGTAGTTGTTTGCTTTTAGGTTTGGGGAAATTCAGGATGCCATGAAGCCTGTCTCGATGTAGGTGCAGCCCTTGTTCTGAGATCAGGTGCCCTAAATAACGAACTTGAGTTTGAAAAAATTGCACCTTCTCTTTAGAAACTTTATGGCCCTTTGAGGCTAAAAGCTTTACAAGGTGGATGCTGTCTTAGAAGCCTGGGAAGGTGAGCAGAGAAGCAAGTCGTCTACATATTGTAATAAAGTAGAGCCTCCAGGAAACTTTATATCATCTAAATCAACTTTTAAAGTTTGGGAAAAGTAATAAGGACTTTCAGTAAAACCCTGAGGCATCACTGTCCAGGTGTATTGTTTTTCTTCCCAAAGCTTTATCCACTGGGGTGCTAAAAAAGGGGCTACATAAATCACTCCCAGTGAAGAATTTGCTTTCGGTGGGGATAGAGGCTAATAAAGTATGGAGATTGGGGACAGTGGGGTGACAATATTGTTTATGGCTCAGAGGTCCCAGACAAACCTCTATCCGTGGTCATTCAGTTCCCTCACAGGCAAAATAGGAGTATCGCAGGGACTAGTACAAGGGATAATGAGGCTGGGCCTTATAGTCTTCCATTATCGGCTTCATGCCCTGGAGGGCCTCCTTATTTATAGGGTATTGATTAATTCTTGGGAGAGGCTTGGAGAGATCTAATTGGATCTTAATAGGAGGTGCGCTGTGGATTCTCCCGATATCAGTTGAAGATTTTCCCCATCATGAGCGTGGTAACTAGTCCATTAGGGACAAATAATTAGTGTCCTTAGAATTAGCTTCAGTCATGTCTGAGACAGAGCAAATAAAAGATGTTGAAGAGTCATTGGATTCACCTAGTTGGCTATTTTGGTTGCTGCTGTCAAATACTAGAATTATCTCCCCCTTTCGAGAGAAAGAAATTCCAGCATGATATTTTTCTAAGAAATCTTGGCCCAATAAATGAATAGGGGTGGGGGAGCTAAGGAGAAAGGGTGGGTACCTCTTAAGGGGGCCCAAACAGAAGGGAATAGGTTTAGAGACAGGGATCTGTTGAGGTTTTTTTGAGACGCCCACCATTTGAACTGTCTTAATACTCCAAGACAGAGGCTGTTTTATAACAGTGGTTGAGCACCAAGAGTGTAGCTCCAGTGTCAGTAAGGACAGAGAGAGATCCATTCCCAATATGGAGAATGCTTTCTCCAAGTCGATTAAGGAGAAAGATTGGGAGGAGCCCTGTGGTTCTGGAGTCCTGCCGTTGGAGATTAGGAGGGCTGTTAGAGGCCTGAAAGCTCCTGGAACACTTGGGCTCGTAGCAGTCTTTCTTCCAGTGCCCTGGCTTTCTGCAATAATGGCAGAGATCAGGAGGGTTTTGGTTTTGTTTAGGGGCCTCCATTTGTTGAAGTTGAAAATTAAGGATTTTAGTGGTCTTCCTTTTAATTGAATCATTTAGGATGTAGGCAAGCTGGTTTGCTAAATTAACAAATTTGGAGTGGATGTCATTTCCCATTCCATTCTGGTCCTTTAAACTAGAAGAGAAAGATCCTGGTTCATCCCATTAATGAACAAAGAGTTAAAGGCTACCTGAGTGGGTTTTACTTCCATGGGAAGGCCAGAATTTTCCTTAAAAACAATCTGAAGTCGATTGTAATAGTCATGAACAGGTTCACGAGGGTTTTGAGTGCAAGCCTGAATTTTGTTCCAATCAACAGCCTGGGGAAAAACTTCTGTAATTGTTCAATGAAGATCTTTAGCAAGTGTTTGGGCATCCTACCAATAGTTAGAATTCTGTTTCTCTAAATTCCTTTCAGGATTTTCCTATCAGGGAAGTTTTATCCAGTGTTGGGCCTGACCTTGAGTGACAAACATGTGGACTAATTGATATAAATCTGAGAAACCAGACTGATAAGTTTGAATGTTAAATTCTTCAGCAGATCTATGGGCATCCTCAGTTACTTTGGGGAAACCTTTGACTATGGCTTATAATTCAGCTTTAGACCAGGGAATATAAGAAATTAGGGGCTTGGTGATTTGGACCCTTGGAAGGCCTGACTTTAAAGGGGCGACTTTTAATGGGTTTGGGAGAGGAGGGAGTGGAGAATCCCCTTCCCTCTAAATTCTAGAGGTGGAGGTAGAGCTTCTTCCTTTGAGCCCTGGCAGTTGCCCACAGTCAGCCAGAGGTCGGGCCTGGGGGCTTGAGGTGGGACTGACAGCCCTTCTCTTCCCTGTCCTGAGCAGAGCCTGGGCCAGATCCTTGAGGCAGCTGTGAGCGTGGGCAGCCGCACGCTGGAGGTCCAGCTCGACTCACTTCTGGCTGCTCTGCATGCTCAGGTAGGCTGGGGGCAGGAGTGGGCTGCTGGGAGGGTGCACCAGGGGGTGGGGTGAGTTCACTGGAGTGGGGCTCCAAGGGGAAGAGCTGCTGGGGGTGGGCACTTTGAGGGGAGCATGCTGCCGGTGGGGCAGGGTAGAGACAGACCCTGGTGCTGCTTTGCTGGGGCCCTCCATGTGAAGGTGCCTGCTGAGGGTACAGGGAGCTAGAGCCCGGGTGGGTGGTCCAGCCAGGTGGGCCTGAAATGCTGGGTGTTCCCTGAGTTGTGTGGGTGTGGCTCTCGGTGATGCAGCCACTTTGTCTTCTGCTCAACAATGGCTCGTGCAGTGTGACACAGGAATCCCCAACATGGAAGTGCCAGGAGCAGGCAGCCAGCAGGGCAGAGGTGTCTGCACTGGGTGTGGGTCCCTAGGGGACTGAGCGCAAGCCGAGCAGAGAAGAGGCCGGGGCAGCTGTGAGCAGGAGCCAGCAGAGGGGCTGTAGGAGGTGGGCGAGGGGAGAGGTCTGAACACTACTGGAGAAGGGGCTTGGAGAAGGCTTATCAGCTGTGCGTGCCGCTCCCCCCGAGGTCAGATGAGAGGTGGGGAGGTCTAGGGATCCCGGGGCAGGTGGGTGGAGCGGTGAAGATGTGAGTCCAGTCCGTGAGACTTTCTGAGCGAGAAAGAAGAGGAGCAGAAAGCTGGAGAGAGTGGGAGCAGGTGGCTCTTTGGAAAGAAAAGCAGAGAGGTGTGGATTTACTTCTTTGCTTTCCGCCACTGGGGCGTCTCTGGGCCTGCGGCTCCTCCCAAACCAGCTGCAGTATCAGCCTGGCCCCACAGACCTGCTGGCCCCAGGCGTTCCCGGCTGCACACACAGGCTGCCCCTCAGGACCTTGGTCCCAGACAGGGGCAGGGGAGGGGAGTGCTACGGTAGAGGGATTCCACAGCAATTTAGGTTGTGAACTATGGTAAAGTACTTGAAAAACTGCATGAAATGGATGGACTCCTAGAAAAAACTTAAAACATCAAAATTGGCAGGAGAAGAAATAGAGAACTTGATGAAACCAATAAAGAATTAGAAATAATATTCCAAGAATTTCCTTCTTTAAAACAAACCAAGGACTCACAGGGTTTTAAGGTTCAGTTTTGTCAACTTAAAAGCAAATATGCCACTTATTTTATCTCAAAATGGGTTTACTTGAGAGTGGCCAAAAGAATTGTAATTCAGGATATGCATGCAATGGTGAACCACAGACAAATTTGGAAAAGGAAAGAGGGAGCTGCTTTTGTGGAGAAAAAGGAGGAGAGGGAGGGGCTGTTCTAAAGGAGAGCCCACTGGGGGAGAGTGACAGTTCAGGGTGGGAATGCCTTCTCATTGGCTGAGCTGTTGAGGGGTGGGAGAGAAATCTTCTTTCAGGAGGAAAATAGTGTTCCTTGGGACCCAAGATGCAGGCGTCTGTCTCTTCCTGTTCAGTGTATTGATGACAGGTGATAGGGTGTGAGAGCGCCCCCTACAGGCCCTCCCAATTCCAATTTAGTTAAGATTTCTTTTATTAATTTCTACAGTTCTACCAAACTTTTGAGGAACAGTTAATTTCTGTCCTATACTGGTGGATTTAGAGATCAGAAAAATATCCAGAGCTGCCTGATTGATTTCTGTGAGGCTAGTCTTGATTCTAAATCCAAGTCAGGACCATACAAGAAAATCTAAGTATATAATTATGGGGATAGATGTGAGGATCCTGTACACAGTAAAGCTAACTGACCCAACACTATACTCTCAAAACATGAGGTGCAGTAGCGCTCAGCCTAGGAAGCTGGAGCAGAGCCCTGTGGCCAGCACCTCCACCTTACCAGGCTTGTTCAGCAGTGAGAAGCTATCATCACCAAAATAGATTAGGGAAGATATCCTCTGATCCCAGTTGATGCAGAAAAAGCTTTTGATGAAGTTCAGCACCTATTTCTTGTTAGAACTCTTAGCAGCTGGGATTGGGAAGGAACTTCTGTAACTTGATCAAGTTTACTCACCCAGACCCTCAGCGCATGTCAGGATAAATGGGAAACAGGCACATTCCCTCTAGGGTCAAGAGTAGGAAGAACTCCCACTCTCACTGTTAGTGGGGTCCAGATCCAATTCTATAAAGAACAAACCAGAAATGAGGGAGGCACAAGGCCTGGGAGAGAGGACAGGACTGTCTTTCATCATTGCCCACCACCCGCCCTCGGGACCTGGTCCCTGCTGTGTGCTTCTCTATGGCACTGACCTCCTTTTAATACGCTCAGTAACTGATTGCTTGTTGCTTGCCTCTCCCCCGCTACAGTGGATACTGCATGAGGTTTGGGTTTTGTCAGTTTTGTTCATTGCTATGTCTCAGCACATAGAATAGCACCTGTCACTTGTAAGCACTCAATAAATATTTGTTTTATGGATGGTTGATTCTTCATCTAAAAATTCACTCATGTCTGAACTGAATCAGTACACAAACATTAGAACTAATAATAAGTTCAGCAAGGTTGCCAGCTACGAGACCAACCTATAAAAATCAACAGCATTTTTCTACACCAGTAGTGACCAACTAGAAAGTATAAACAAATAGCATTTACAATAGCAACAGAAACTTATGAAGCATCTGGGAATTAACCTAACCAAGAATGCCTGAGCTCTCTATGGAGGAAAAGTTTACAACTCGAAAATATAACAGTGAGAAAAAATGAGAGATGTAGCACAATATCATTTACTTAATATCAAAATGATTGCATGAAACAACACACGTGCACAAATTGTAAAAACAAAGAATGATTATCTATGGGATGGGGACAGGAGTGGAGAATGGTTTAAAAGGAAAATGTAAATATATGACAGCTGAAAAGGTGGAAAAAATGTGATATTTCCTCTTCTTTGAGCTGTCCATTCATATCTTTTGTTTTTCTATTGGGTTTTAGGTGTTTTTCATATTGGTCTGTAGCAGTTATTTATAGTCTTGTATCATATGTGTATAAATTCTTGTTCCTACTTTGTCCTTTATTTTTTGGCTCTGTTTATGATTTTTTTTGCCATGCAAAATTATTTAATTTGTGCATCATCATTTATCCATCTTCTATGTTATAGTTCAGGTTTTGTTATACTGAGAAAAGCCTTTTAAATTCCACCGTTATTTTTCAGAACCTCCCATTTTCCTTTTTCATTTTATTGTTCAATCCATCTGGAATTTATTTTATGGAAAGAGTAAGAATCTAATTTTATCTCTTTTCAGAGGACTACCCATTTGCATTGGTTATCTATGCCGTGTAACCAATGACTCCAAAACTTAGCACCTTAAAATAGCAACCGTTTATTATCTCACAGTGTCTGTGGGTCAGGAATCCAGGGGCCCCTCGGCTGGATGGCTCTGGCTCGGGGTCTCACGTGTTTGCAGTCACACGTCATCTGAAGGCTCCGCTGGGGCTGGAGGGTCTGCTTCCAAGGTGGCTCCTCCTGTGGCTGTTGGCGGGAGGCCTCAGTTCTTCGCCCCGAGGCGCTCTCCATAGGCTGCTGGAGTGTCCTCACACATGAGTGAGTGATCTGATGTAGCAGGCAGGAAGCTGTGGTGCCTTTTATGACCAGATTAGGTCTTTACAATGGAAATAAGGAGCTACCTGGTAAGCTGGAGCAGAGCCCTGTGGTCAGCACCTCCACCTTACCTGCTTCCTCACAGTTCTCTGAGAACTGGCAGATTCCAGGTTGGGGCGGAGCCTGTGTTCTGGTGACGCTCTGTACTGTTGGTCATCTCTTCTGGCTCATAAGATGGACTCTAGTGAGGAGTTGCCTTGAGGCCCTTTGCCCAGAAGCCCTGCTGGAGTCCTTTGCCATGAGCCTGAGGGGTGAGTGAGGACTGGGATGCTATCCTGGGGCTCAGCCCTGGTGAGTGTGGGGGGCTTCAGTGTCACTCAACGTGCAGTGGAACCCACATACACCTGCTACCATCCTCAGGTTCACTTTTACCAAAGCAAGTTTTTAAAAGTTATTTTGAACGAATGAATTCTAGGTGTTTTGATTTCCAGTGCTTTCCAAATTGTAGAGATTAGTGGTTTCCAGCCTGTGCCCAAGAGTGTATGCCCAGGGAAGCGGGAAACTGTCTCCTTTCTCATAAAGAAGTGTCCCTTGGGAATTTGTTCTCCTGGCTGCTGGTGGGAAGGGTAAGGTGTGGAAGGAGCCAGGACTCTTCCTTTGAGATGTGAGGGTCAGCTGCGTGTGCTGCTGTCTGTCTCCCCTCCCCAGCTGCAAGCACGTGGGCTGAGGTCCCTGAGGCGGCCTCTAATCACAGGGGTGAGTGCGTCTGTGCAGCCAGCTGGGAAAGGGCCAGAGTGACCTGCACCTGCAGGGTCAGCTGCCTGCCGTGGTGGTTGAGGTAGAAGCCTGGAGCCCTCGGGAGTCTGCTCTGGCCCAGCATCTTTAGGAGCACCTGCCCTTTCCGCCAGCCTGGCTGGGCCCAGGGTGGCAGTGCCATCCCCCGTAACCTCTTGTCTTCTGTCCCCTGGAGCAGGTTTGTGTGCCTGTGGAGTCATCAAGCCCGGTGGTAATGAACAACCAGAAAGAGGTGCTGCGCTGCTTCACAGTGCTGGGTAAGAGATGGCCAGGCAGCCTCACAGCTGGGGGCCGTCAGTGGACACACGTTTCTGCACTCGCCGTGGAGGCTGATGAGCCACTTCTGTCTGAGGGATGGTGGCAGCTTTGGGTGGGGTTGGGGGAGAGGAGGCCTCTTTGTCCACTTCTGTCTGAGGGATGGTGGCAGCTTTGGGTGGGGTTGGGGGAGAGGAGGCCTCTTTGTCCACTTCTGTCTGAGGGATGGTGGCAGCTTTGGGTGGGGTTGGGGGAGAGGAGGCCTCTTTGTCCACTTCTGTCTGAGGGATGGTGGCAGCTTTGGGTGGGGTTGGGGGAGAGGAGGCCTCTTTGTCCACTTCTGTCTGAGGGATGGTGGCAGCTTTGGGTGGGGTTGGGGGAGAGGAGGCCTCTTTGTCCACTTCTGTCTGAGGGATGGTGACAGCTTTGGGTGGGGTTGGGGGAGAGGAGGCCTCTTTGTCCACTTCTGTCTGAGGGATGGTGGCAGCTTTGGGTGGGGTTGGGGGAGAGGAGGCCTCTTTGTCCACTTCTGTCTGAGGGATGGTGGCAGCTTTGGGTGGGGTTGGGGGAGAGGAGGCCTCTTTGTCCACTTCTGTCTGAGGGATGGTGACAGCTTTGGGTGGGGTTGGGGGAGAGGAGGCCTCTTTGTCCACTTCTGTCTGAGGGATGGTGGCAGCTTTGGGTGGGGGTTGGGGGAGAGAAGGCCTCTTTGTCCACTTCTGTCTGGGCCTGCATGTGACCCTACGGACCTCACAGCCGAGAGCTGGCTGGGCCGCAGCCCTGAGCGTCCATCCTCCCCGGCTCCCAGTTTTCCAGGTGCAGGCAGTGAGCCAAGGACAGATCATGACAATTTTTGATGTGTGCTTGCCCTGCAGCTTGCTGCTCACCTGACCGCCTGCTGTCCTTCCTGCTACCCAAGCTGGACGCCAGCAATGAGAGGACCCGTGTGGGCACCTTGCAGGTCCTGAGGCACATCATCAACTCGGCCGGTGAGTGGCCAGTGTAGAGCACTGCCTGAAAAAGTTAGATATTGTCCATCTTTTAGGTGAAAAGGAGCATCTTGCTTTGAGTTCTTTAAAAGACTTTCCTAACTTTCTATTTTGCAAAATTGCAAACTTTTTGAAAAGTTGCAAGAGTAGTACCTGTCTGCTCAGCAGCAGATGTCCATCACCCATGTTTGCCTTTGACAGCGGGCTGCAGGCACTGGGACACTGCGCCCCATCTCCCAGGCCGGGCGTTTGCCACACGCCCGCTAGACTGAAGGCTCAGTTTCGCAGACGTGTCACACGTTGTCTGTTACCGCTGCCCCCGCTGTGTGGGGTCCAGTTGAAGGCACACATTGGAAGAGTTGAGGCCAGTTGTTCTGCAGAAGGCCCCTCAATATGTATGTCTGATTATTTCCTCACAGTTAGATAGAAGGTTTCAGGTTTCCTGTTTTGAAGGCTAATTAGCAATAAGCTTCAGCATTTTTCACACCTGAGTTTGTGTTTTTCGGCGAGTCTTGTTCAGTAAACAATGGCCATGGGCCACACTGGGCCTGTAGCCTGCGAGCTAAGAATAGTTTTTACATGGTAACGAGCTATGAAAGGAAACAAAGAAGAATATGGGACATGTGGTCCTTGGAGCCTAAAATATTTTCTTTCTAGCTCTTAATGCAACAAATGTGCCTGTCCTGTGAGTTTCGCTCCAGGTCAGTGCCAGGTTGCAAACAGCGTCTGTGGAGATGGGGCAGCTTACGGAGTTCAGGAATGATGAAGCAGCAGCTTGGGAAGGGCGGAGACAAGGGAAGACAGTAGCAGCTTGGACCATGGCCCAGCTTGTGCCATGAAGCCGGGAGTGTGGAGCCATCAGCACACTGGCTCCCTGGGGAGGCGCCTCAGACGCGGAGGGTGGCAGCCGGCAGACAGAAAGCAGAGCCCCTAGGCAGCCTCTCATGTGAGGTGCCATGGCAGTACTCTCCCTGCTTCACGGACGAGAAACCGGGGAGGGGAGGGTAAAGGGAGTTGCCTGCACCACTCCTCTGGGAGTGGCTGAGCGGCATTTGAGATGGAACCTGGGGCAGCCTCGCCTTCATTTTCTCCTTGACTTGCTGTTTCCTTTTGCTAGAGATGCTTGTCTCCATGTGGAAGGTCAGCATTTGTGCGCAGTAACTAATCCTGCCTGCCTGCCTTTGTTAATTCTTCCATTGCATTTGTGTTTCCGAAGTCATTTCAGTTCACCTGTGTTTCATTTTTTCCTTTAAGTTCTTTCTCTATGTATTTACGTACATATATATGTGTGTATACACAAAGAAATAGATGTTTGAGTAGTAAGTAGTCCAAAAACATGCTTTTTCACACTCTAGTACATCTTAGAGAACTTATAGTCTCAGCACTTGTAGATCTGTCATGTTTTATTGTTTCTATTCTGAAGTGTAACACATATACAGAAAGTGCACACATTTTAACTGTTCAGCTCAATGAGTTATCACAAAATAAATCCTGTGTCCGCCACCCTGTGAAGAGTAGAACACTGATGCACCCGGAAGCTGCCCCCAGGCCCCTCCCACAGGGAGCCCCCAGCTGACTTCTGACAGCAGAGGGCAGTGTTGCTGTTTTGGGTGTTTAAATAGCATTGTAGAGTGTATTGTTTTGTATCCTTCAATATTGTTTGTGAAATTTATACATATAGTGTGGGTCCGTCATCTTCCTTTCTGTGAAGTACCCCAGTGAGTATCTCCTACTGTCTGTCCGTTCTAGTGGTGACGGGGAGACGGCTGCTTCCAGTTTTTTACTGTTATGCGTAAGGCTCCTGTTAACAGTTTTCCTGTGCCCGTTCAGTCAGTTGTGTACCTAGGAGTAGAATTTCGAGTCATAAGGTTGCATGTGTTCAACTTTGGTAGATAAAACCATTTTATTTTCTGAAGTAGCTGTTTGTACCCCGTGCCTTACACCTCACAAGCAGCGTGTGAGCCTCGTGGCTTCACACCCTTGCCACACTTGTTAGTCGTCACTTTTAGCCACTGTGGTGAGTGTGCTATGGTATCTCATTTTGGTTTCTAAAACTTAAAAGATATTTATTTTGACTTACAATGAGAAATTCATTAATAGCTTGTTGATCTATCAGAAGTCTCCTTAAAAAATATTTTTCCTTGATGGCAACCAGGTTTTATTCTGTCTTTTTCAATTTTATTGCAATGTAATTGACATATAACATCGTGTAACTCTAAGGTGTACAACCAGGTGGATGACCCAGCCTGTCCCCTAGCAGGGCAGCCTAATCAGAACTCCCCCTCCCAACCCAGGCCTTGTTCATCACAGGAGCTGCTCTGTCCTAAGTGCAGGCTGTGTCTGAGCTCCTGTAACCCTCCGGGCACCCACAGGAAGGCGCTGTAAGAGTAGGTGAGGCCAGTGAGGCTTGGTCAGGTTAGCAACACCCCCAGGCCTCGCATCAGCACAAGGTGGCGGGTTGTTTTTGCCTGGATGCCCTTACTTTTTTATTCTAAATCCAGAAATTTTATTGACATGGTTGGCTGTCCTGGGGTGATATTTTTCCCCAGGTATGTGGAGTGCTGTTTTAATATGTAGTTTCAAATCTTATCTCAGAAATTTTTTTTTAATTATAGTATTTCAATATTCCACTGTTTCAGAATTCTTCTTTGAAACTCCCTGTTATATGTGTATTGTGTCGCCTCTGCCTATCTTCTGTACTTTTTAAATCAAATCTTTTAAAGTTTTTTGGCCTCCAGTCATATTTTTTCCTGGAGTTTCACTTTCTAATATTGAGAATAAGTTACATTTAGTGAAATGCACAAATCTCAATTGTACAACTTGGTGACATTTTATACCTTGTTCACCCGTATGACCATTACTCAAATCAAATTGTGGAACTTTTTCAAAAACCCAAAAAGTTTCCTTGTACTTTACTTTCAGACAACAGCGACCCTAACCTAGGAAGTAACCACTTTTCTGACTTCTGTCACAATAAATTAATTCTATCTGTTCTTGAATTTTGTGTAAATGAATTTACTATAGTAGGTAAACTTTCGTGTCTTCTTTCGCTAAGCATAATATTTTTGAGATTCATACATGTCGTGTGTATCAGTTCATCCTTTTTTATTGCCAAGTAGTATTCCATTACCTTTTATGAATAAAAAATATATTTTCGTTAATGGACATTTGGGTTGTTTCCAGTTATTGACTATTATGAAGAAAGCTGCAATGAACATTCTTGTACAAATCAATTCATAGGCATGTGCACCTGTTTCTCTAGGTGTGGAATTACTGGGCCATAAGAAGATAGATGTATGTTGAATATTATCAGAAACTGCCAAATAGTTTCACAAGGTATCATACTATTTACATGCTCACTTATCATGCATGAGAATTCCAGTTGCTCCAACATCCTTGCCAACTCTTGACATTTCCATCTTTCTAATTTTAATCTTTTTGGTGGGTGTGTAGTGGTATTTCACCATGGATTTTTTTTTTTTTTTTGAGGAAGATTAACCCTGAACTAACTGCTGCCAGTCCTCCTCTTTTGGCTGAGGAAGGCTGGCCCTGAGCTAACATCCATGCCCATCTTCCTCTACTTTGTACGTGGGATGCCTACCACAGCATGGCTTTTGCCAAGCAGTGCCATGTCCGCACCTGAGATCCAAACTGGCGAACCCTGGACTGCCAAGAAGCGGAATGTGCACACTTAACCACTGCGCCACCGGGCCAGCCCTCACCATGGATTTAACTTGAATTTTCCTAATGAGTAAATTGGTTAAGCGTCTTTTCATATGCTTATTGACCTTCCAGTATCTTTTTGTGTGGGGGAGGTTCCTGTTCAAGTCTTTTTGCCATTGTTTAATTGGATTGTTAGTTATTATGGTTATGTTTAGGAGTTCTTTGTCAGATATGTATAGGTGGAGATGTATATTCTTTTATGGTTAGTGCCTTTATGTCTAAGAAACCTTGGCCTTTCCAGAAATCATGAAGATATTCTCCTGTTTTCTTCTAGAAACTTTATTGTGTGAACTTCAACATTTAGTTCTATGATTCATTTTTAATTAATTTCTGGGTATGGTGTGAGATATAGGGAGACAAGATTATTTTATTTTCATATGGACATCTAGTCCTTCTGGCACCGTTGGGAAGACTTTCCTTTACCCCTGAATTGCTCTGGTGCTTTCAGACAGTCGGGGGGCCGTCTGCCTTGACGAGGTGGCACAGCTTGGGCGGCTTAAACAGCAGACGCGTGTTGTCTCAGCTCTGGGATCTAGATGTCGAAGATCAGGATGTCAGCAGGGTTGGTTCCTTCGGAGGCTGTGAGGGGGAATCTGCTCGGTGCCCCTCCCCTAGCTTCTGGTAGCTGCTGGCAATCCTTGATGTTCTTGGCACGTGGAAGCCCCCTGATCTCTGCCTTCATCGTCATCTCTGCAGGCCTCTCCCTGGGTGCCTGTCTGTGTCCTTTCTATAAGGACACCAGTAGTGTTGGATTAAAAGCCCGCTCTATTCCAGTGTGACCTCATCCTAACTTAACTAACTACATCTGCGATGACCCTGTTTCCAAGTAAAATCACCTTCCGAGGTACTGAGGGTTAGGAATTCAACATATGAATTTTGGGGACACAAGCAGCCCATAACATTATATGTTAGCAGGAATGTTTCAGCACTCTGTTCCGTTCCTCTGATCTCCTTACACCAATATCACACTCTTTTAATTCTTGTAGCTTTATAGTAAATCTTTAAATCTGGTAGAGTATGTCCTTCAACTTTGTTCTTCTTCAAGATTGTTCATCTCCATTTAAAAAACCTTTTTATTGTGAGACAAATCACAGGTAGAAGCCACAGAAAACAAAAGTGTGGCTTAAGGACTCGTTCTAAGACAAACACCTTTGCACCTACAACCAGGTCTCTTGTAATGGCCTTGTCACTCCAGAAGCCCCTTCTCGGCATCTGGTTCCAGTCATAACCCCTTCACCCCATAAGGAAAACTGTCCTGATTTTATAGTAATCACTTC